AAATCGAAATTTAAAGTACTTTGTAATTTCAAACATATGAAATGAAAGGAAATTTCTTTAGAATTTAAAAAAAAATTTAATTTTTTGGATTCACAAGGACGAATAGGTACGTTTTAAGCTAATAAAGTTAGAACGAGCAAATTCGAGGATATTATCGACTTTATATAAACCCTTAAAACATAATTTTTATTTTTTTTTTAACAAATATTGCGAAATTTCAGGAATACAATTTTAAAAGGACATTTTCAATATTTACCAGTCCTTATGCACCAAAAGATTGAATCCGCTTAAATTCTACAGAATTTCCTCTTTAATTTGGAACCCATACATTTCAATGAATTTTTTAAGTCATTTTTGAATTGCTGACGTCAGAGTGGAAAACTAAAAACGCAATTTTACTTTATTTGGCAACTATGATAATATTAATTATTAAATAAAAAAAAGAAATATAGCCAATACTGGTCAAGAAAAGGAATTTCTATTATTGCCATCAGTGTAAATTTAAAAGCTGCCGAAAATTTATTTAGAAATTTAATAATTTTGAACATGGTGACAGAGTTTTTGAAAAGTTTGATGCAGATCTCTGAATAAATTAGCTAAGAAAAGTTTTTAGTTTGTTAAAAAAACATTTATTTTATAAAATTTTACATGTTTATTAAACATTTTTTATAACATATTTGCATGTCAACAGATTTATTCACGTTTTTATTTTTATTATAATAACGTATAAACTTAGAAAACGTTTTTTGAATGGTAATGAAAGTATTTAACAGGTCGAATATTTTCTAATTTGTCTGCAATATTTTTGAATTAAAATTGCACTTTTCTAGAAAATAAGATATTGATTTCTATATTTGTTTGTGTACAATTTGTATTGCTTTTTATATGTCAATAACAAATGACATTTATTTATAATAGCTGCATATATAATTATACATATATAATAAAAAATTCATTTACATTTGTGCACCTTGCTTCTCATAAAAACACACAATAAACGGGTACACTATTAGGCTGAAGTCAGAGTAGTTGCTATGTATAAGCGATGCTAGCCATAGTGTCATAAAAAGTTAAAAATCGCTGAATAAGTTTTTGTATGTACTATACACATTTGCTCCAAAAGTGGCAGAGTGTTAATGAAAATAGAAACGTATTTGAGCTACAAACCGAGCGTAAGGCAGTAAAATGATATGTAGCAAGTTCGCGCCTGGAAATTGCTTGAATTTTTTGTCATTACACAGTTAAAAAATAAATTACAAAGCTGCGTTCGAATATGTGATATTTAGCAGTGTCGATTTATTTTTTGCTATTTTGTTTACTTTTAGATACTTTTATTGTTTATTGAGTTTATAATCAATGTTTGCAATCAATTTTTAACCAACTTCCCGATGAGTTAGATACTCGATACTTTAAACACAGCTCAGAACTCGATGGCAATGCAATATTAAAAATGAATTAACCCTCTATATTTGGTAAACCCATATTTATTGTCCGACTTGGTTCATATTTAAATTATATATTACCTACATGAAAATGAATAACTCCACAAAAAATGTGTTGGGTTGTGCGTAGATCGATTTTTCTTTTTTTATTAATCACTAATAAATGCGTGTCTTTAAAACGCAGCCCTATTGCGCCTATCCCTGATATAGTATATTTTCATCTAGCTGTTGAAGACACTAAGCTTACCACATTAAAAAATATCGCTTCGCTCCTCGCATCGCTTATGCGCAATCACTCTGCCGCCAGCCTTAAATTAATATGTACCATAAAAATATGTATGTTAATTATTCAACACACTGTTAAATACTAAACAATAATTTTGTATAATATTCTTAAAATTTTTATGTTCAAGATTTTTTGACTAGATAAAAAATAAAGTTTTTCTTATAAAATTTGTGCATTTCCCGGTATAGTTTTTGCATAACATTTCTTAGCTCAGAATTTAGTAAAAACGTTATAATAAAAAAATTTAGTTACGTATGTTACAATAGAAAAAAACGTATCATATGTTAGTTACTTACATGAATATCTATGCAAAAATTTGCTTGCAGTACTTACATATATGTACATACACTCCCATGCACTTGAATAGGGACAGTGCTTTTATGCTTTTTCTTCTATGTTATTTTGCTTTTCTTGCTCTAAAGAAAAATCATAAGAAATATCTTTTAATATTTCTGTTGATTTTTGAGAGATTCAAACTACTTTAAGAAATGTTGATTGAAAAATTCTTTTTCTGAGAGCTGCAAAGGGGTCTTAATTTTTTTAATTAAAATACAGTTCATTCTCTAACAAGTTAAAAAAAAAATCATACAATTTTCCAACTTTTTTCAAAGAATTTTAATATTTTTTTTAAGTATGCAGTTTGTATCTCATCCAATTTGCAAATTTGAAGTAGCTACGAATTACAGTTGATTTTCGACAAATTTGTTACTGACGCTCTTCAATTTTGTTAATTAAAAAAAGCGAGAATGACTACAAAACTATATGCAAAAAAATTTTTAAGAAAATTTTATATATTTTTTTAATTTTTTACAAAGTTTAAAACTTTTGTTTCGATGGTTTTTGTTAGAAAATGAATGTATTTCAATGAAAAAATAGTGGGAAATAAATTGTAGAAAAATATCCCAGAAAAGGCACTGTTGTCCCTATTCAAGTGCATGGGAGTGTATACATTTACATTTTCAATTAAGATGTCCGATACATATGTGTGTAATCTCTTGTTTGAGACTTTTAAAATACGGATATTAATGCTCCTCTTTCTTTTAAAAATTTCCCTCTTTTCTCAACTGTATATATTACGACGCCGATTTGAGCGCCAGTTGGGTTAACCTAAATTATTATCGACCAACAATTTGTGAGAAAATAGCGAAATTGTTTGTGAATTTTTTTTTTAATGCCTGATAGACCTACCTGAAAACCTTCTTTTTGATTTGAGCGAGCTTTCACAAGAACTTTCCATCGACTAGCAAGAATTTTGCCCTCTTATACTCGAAAAAGCAATAGAAATGTATTAGAAAAATTCTGAACTGTGTTTTAAAATAAAATACCACATCTGGACTTCATCCTTTCGTCCGAACTTTTGATCAAATGCGCCACAAAACTACGCATATAATTTCGCTAGTTCAAGTTCAACAGAATTTAAAAAGTTTTATTGTTTCAAGAACAAAATATTTCGGCGATCACATTCCGGTTAGGTGTTGTGTTTTTCTATATTGTCCGTACGGCAGATGCTTTTCTACGATACGATGTTTTTATGGCAGAAATACACTCGAAGGTTTGCCAATGCCTATCGAGGTCGACGAAAAAAAAAAAAAAATTTGCAAAGGTAGAAGTTATAGCTGCAATCCCAGAGATCACCAAAACTCCTCATCGGATTTCTTCATCGACGCCAAGGGAATTTGAGCCGCAACACTTCGGCGTACCAAGCCTGTGTGCTACCCACTGAGTTAAGTTTATCTCATGTAAACTGTTCTTGCTCAGAATTGTTGCGACATTGGGTGATTTCTAGTCATAACCGCAATTTTATTGTGGCCAGAAAAAAATAAATTTTACAAGATTTTTTTTTTTAATAACACAGTCCGACAAAATTGTATCTCCGCATTCCCTGAAAATTAAAACAACCGCATTTGAAGATTTTCTTGCGCTGATTCTGCATCTACCGATACAATTTCTGTAGACCTGTTGGTTTCGGTAAAGCAGGCGTTTAAAACGAAAAGCTGGTAGGGCGCATTATAGGCACGAATGTTGAGATCTCAGTGCAAAATGACCAATCTACGAGAAGAGAAGTAGATGCGCCTTTTTAATAGGACATACAAGGCCTATTCGCCAATTCTGTTGGAAAGACTGAAGCCCTTCATGATCCAGCTGATTGGACCTTATCAGTGTAGATTCAGGCGTGGCAAATCTAACAAGACCAGATTTTCATATACAACGCGGATCGCGATGCTGGTATTTAACGAAGAAAGCACTGCAACTGAGATTCACTTGGCATATCCAATTGGAGGCAGCTAGCGCACCACAGAAACTTGATCAGAATCGACTAATCGATTAATCGATTAAAGCGCCAATAACGCAGAAGAAGAATGGGTATTTAGCACATTGTCCTCGACTTTAGAGGCGCAAGCAGAGAAGATGCATCTATCGTACTTTTTCCGCTAAACTCATGCGGCTATATTGAATGACGTTGAGCACAACAGTAAGCTTCGTCTAAATTTGTAAGGACCTCTTTGCGCCTTCCGATATGAGATGTTTGTCGTTCGACAGTTCAGCTAATGAGTGCAGGTAATAATGATCATTATAAAACGATTCGAAAGCGACAATTTTGGAACATTGTTTTTGCATTGTTTCAAACATTTGTGACTACATTTAGTACCCTGTGGTGTCGAGATGTCCCTTTTCATGTCGACTCGACAACGAGGTCGACAGTTAAATATATGGACTGTAATTTCTCAAATATGTTCTAGCACTACTACTTATTCGACTAAGGTGGCCGGCATATTTTGTGTAGTAGATACGTACATATGTATGTGTATGCATGTATGTAACTGTACTGCAACTATTTAAATATACTTAAAATAAATATTTTTCTACAATTAATACACTTTTATTAAAAAAATTTATTTCTTAATAATAATAGAGAATGTACATATGTACAAAAATGAACTATATCGCCAGCTTAAAATGAAGAGTTGCTTAGTCCAGTTTTTAAAATAGTACAGGAGGGAAGAATACAAGCATTTAAAATTCAGTTTCTTCAAGTACATTCATATTTGCAAAAATTTTAACTGCATATTTCAAGCTAGAACACTTCAAAGGAATAAAATTTCCCAAAGTTGGAGAATACCTTGTGTATTATTAGGGATTTATAACATCATTTGTGACTATTTTGGACTTAGGAAGTTTGCACATCACTGATTTGAATTAAAAAACTTAATTGGATCTTTTAAGAAACTATTAATTTTTATATAATAAACATCTACAATTTTGTAGAAAAAATGGACTTAGCAACTTTTCACTCTGCATAATATGTAAGTAAATATATTTCTTTTATACTTTTAAAATAAATGACACATTTCATTTTGCGTTTGCAGAAAATAGATACTCAGACCAATGTGGCCAACCTTTGAAGCTGTTGTACAATTCATCTGCTCTTGCATCTGTCGATGTAGGATCCAACATATATGCTCCATATATTTTATAATCTGGCGAGAGTTTACCTAATTGTACACCCTCCTCTAATAATAATTTTGTGACATCCATTTGTTTTTCTGATGGCTTTTGTTTTTTGAATGTACCAATATAGGCGAAACTAATACTGTCCGAATTGAAGCCACGCAAATGTGCACCGACTACATCCCAACCACGTCCTTCATACACATTGCCATCGCCACCAATTAGGAAGTTGTAAATAATATCATCATGATTTTGAGATTCAATGTTAAGAGTTTGTGTCATACGTACACGATAGACGCACATGGCCTGAAAAAGAGAAAACCATCTTTAAATGTCACTAAGTAGGTAAGTAGTGAATATGCTAGTAATAAATATGTACATATGTACATTAGCGCGTACCACCTTACAAGCAAATAAAAAAAAGTTCGCCGTACACCCATGAGTATAAAGTAATTTTGCAAGCCAATTTCAAAAAAAAAATTATATTTTGGCCGAACCTAGGTGCCCCGCCCTTTTGATATTTTTCGGTGACCCCTTTTTTTTTTAATAGTTCTACTGGAATAATCAAAATACATCCATACAAAGGTTTAATGCTTTTTGGTGAGCTTTAGTTTACTGGCTTTAGGGTGGTACGCCAGGGTGATAAGAACTGGTAGGTAAGTAGAATAGGCTACTTGAACGTTGGAACAAAAAAAGTTGTCTCCTAGAGATAAAAACATCGATATTTCATATTTGAAGATCTGACTGTAAATTACGAAGATATAACGAAAAATGTGCGTTAGGCTGGTCCAAAAATGCATGCGGGATAAAGTTTAAAATGTTAAGCTCTCACCCCTAGAATTTTTCTTAATGCAAAAAAAAAGAATTCGCGTTTTTTGTTTAAAAAAAGAATATATTTACAACTGGCCCATGAAGTTTTCAATGTATATTATGAAACTCTGTTTCTCTTAAGGATACTTCCATTAAGGATACCCAATTGTTTATTTAACTATTCTTTAATATTAATTTTTTTTAAAGGTCGCCCAAAAACCCCTAAAACGCAATGGGGGACCCACAAAACTCGCTAGTATCAAAAAATGGTAAAATAAACAGTTGGGTATTATTACTTGAGGTCTCCTGAAGAGAAGCACAGTTTTCCAATCGAAAAATATTGACTTTCAAGAATTCTATCCCATTTCTACGAAAAAGTGTTTTATCCCCATATATGTAAAATACATGGAAAACTTAATGGTCTTTGAGGAAGTTATAAATATATATTTTTTTAATAAAAATGCGGGTATTCTTTTTTCCCTTTAGATAAGTTCCAGGGGGTGAGAGCTTAACACTTTAAACTTTTTTTGGACCACCTTAATGTGCGTGCATATGATTTTTAACTATATTAAAAAGACTTACTCGTAAGCTTATAATCAGAAATATACAGTGCGAATTTACAGGCTGCTGTTTTGTCGAAGCAGAAACAAAAATTTTGTTCCTATATGATTACAAAAGATACAAAAATTTTTCCCAAAAAGATGTGTTTTCTTTAAGTTCTGTGTCCATTTTATTCTGCTTTTGGTAAACATATTTTACTAAGACATATTTTATCTCCTAAAAAATATTGTTTATTGCGAATAGTTTTTTTTTTGGTTTATCTAATATTTTTTTTATTAAATAAATTTTTCCTAACAATTCCTAACAATTACGTATTTTTTTTTTAACCTTTTCTCTAAATCTTACTTTTTTCTATAGGAAAATTCTAAAAATTAACTTTATTCTAAATATATGTTTCTCTAAAGAATGAGGCACATTATTAGAAAGAGAAAAGTTTTTTAAATTTTTTCCAAAAATTTTCTCAATTTTTCTGATATATTTTTTTTTAATTAAGTTTTTCTTAAATACTACCTATTTTTCTAATAAATTTACAAGTTTATTTTTTTCTAACAATTATTCCTTTTTCTAAATATTTTCTCAAAAACTAACTTTAACTTAAAAAAATTCTAAGAACTAGCTTTGACCTAAATAGTTTTTTGTAAAAATTAGGCACATTTTAGAAACAGATAAGTTTTTTAAATTTTTTCCAATAATTTTCGTCATTTTTCTAATAATTTGTTAATTATTTTTTCCTAACTACTTATTTTTCTAAAATTCCATTATAAAAAAATTAAATTTTTTCTAAAAAATTATAAAAGTAAAATTTAGCATATTTTTTTTCTTAATGAGAGACAGAAAAGCTTTAACTGTTTCACAAAATTTCCTAATGAGTGGAAAACTCTTTCGGAAGCATGTTCCCCTTGGTCCTGAAAGGGATAATTCTATCCAAAACTCATTTTGTGCTCGTAGTTATGGTATGTTTGTTTAGATGGCCATGCACGACAAGATTGTCCCTCTTCCTCTTGAGGAATCACAGACTTTTTTATTAAAAGCCCATCTATCCAGAAGTAGTCCGTAGGCTGTTTAGGGACTCCTATTCCCATAACTTCTCTGGTAGGAATCAAATGACACTAGTTTTGAGCGCATTCAACAGCCCTGATTACTGCATCGATGTCAGAGTAGATATTTAGCCTTCTTATTGGTATAACATTATCACCTCTGTTTGAAACACTCTGCATAAATTCGGAAGCCTAACCGAGTGTCCCTCACAGAACACACCTTATCCAACTTTATCATCGAATTTCGACGCATCCATGAAGATGTTTACTGTACCTCTGTTCCAGAAGCTTTCGGTTTCCCTTTCCTCCCGGGAAGGGATGTGTGCTGGAGCCAGTTTCGGTACGCATCGATCCACTTTTTCAGCTATGAAGTCAAAGTTTCCAAATATTGTTTAGTAATCATAAGACGGGTTGAATGAGAAACCAGTGCTTCTTGATCTATTGACACATTCCAGCAGCCTTACTCGCAATGTCTGTGGGTGTCTTATGGTTTCCTATGGTTGTTTTACAGCATTTTAAAGCAATTGCCTTCCTTTTTGGGATCACGGTTAAATATACTCATATAAGAACATATAGAATACTCCGAGACTTTCGGCTGTTAACGAGTGCCACTGCCTTAGCAGTCGAAGGCGATAACTGGACAGCGCCTCTTTTTTAACTCATCCAGAACGTCATTAATGATGACTTTACGAGAAAAGTGTGAGAGTGCGCCCCACTGATAGCTACACCTACTGCAATACACTGAGAGACATTACCTCATTTCGCTACGAGAGTTTTGTCGCTAAGCATGCTCCAAGCTTGGTCAGGGCCTTGGTTGCACGTTTTTTAAAGCCTCTCGATATTGAGGAAGGCGCCAACAACAAACTATTTATTCTTAAAAGACTTGTCTATAACTTAAACATCGCTTAATCGCTTCCGAGGAATCTTGTTTCTCATATATACATAAGTCAGTCAGTCTCTCGCGGGTATTCAATAGAAAAGAAGAGCGTGATAGCTTACACCCGCCTTGGAAATACAATTCTAAAATTGGTTTTGTTATATGTTTTTAGTATTTATCGATTTTGGTTAAATTCCTGACCATTTTCGATTTTCCGAGTTATGACGTTCTTCGATATGCATGTTTGTATTAATAAATTTTAAATGATTAGTCTATACTATATATAATCATTTGTAATTACTTACTTGCGTTTCACAGTCTTCAGTGAGTGTTGAAAGTACAATGACCCTGTGCACAGGCGTTGCCAAAGGTACAGGATCAGCTGATGGAGGTTGAGCTAGCCAGCCATCGCGAGGTACAATGCGAAGTATTTTGCCACCGCCTACATTATCGTCCGCTGTAACAAAAGAGGGAATATAAATTGCGCTCCTCATAATTTATTTAAAATGCACGCTATCTCAGATCATTTTGGTTGCTCAAGTAGATACTTTGAAATATGATGATATTGGAATTATGCACATATTTATGTATGCAGATCTTACCTTAAATCAAACGAAATACTATGTACATTTTTTAACACATATAAAAGGTTAGATAGTTATGTAAAAGTGCATTTATATGTATATATTTTTTGTTACAAATTTACACTAAAATTATATATGTATGTTTATATAGAAAAAGGTTATTTCTTAACAGCAGTCGTCCCTCGGCAGGCAATGGCAAACCTCCGAGTGTATTTCTGCCATGAAAAACGGCTTCTCATAAAAATACAATCGCCGTTCGGAGGCGGCGTAAAACTGTAGGTCCCTCCGCTTTGTGTGACAACATCAAGGCGCACACCACAAATCGGAGGAGAAGCTCGGGCAAACTCTAACATATGTGTAAGTGCCAATCTATTATTATTATCATTATATGTACATAAATATAATATATAAATAAGCGTTCATTATCCTTTCAGGCATAGACAACTATAGGACACAGAATAATTTAAAATTATTTAATATTCAGCTTGGTTCACTCTAACGTACATAGCTATCTATTTACTTATATGCATATGATATGAACATAAATTCTAGGTTTTCCAAAGATGTTTATTTTTATTTTTTTAATTCATATGCGATTACTCCAATGTGACCATTGTGTAATTATACTATAGAGTGCTTTGCCCGGACTTTCGGTGCCGCCCAGCTGTCGCGCTCCATAGAGTCGATAATCTTGTGCGATTGCGCCCAACCTCACACCTTCCTCGATAAGTAATTTAGCTGCTTTCAGGTCATTGTCTGTGGGGACTTCTTCGTTGAAAGTACCAATAAATGCAATGCCAATGCTTTGTCTGTTATAGCCTTTTGTGTGTGCGCCTAACTCATACCAGCCACGTCCTTCGTATACTAAACCATTGCCACCGACTAGGAAATTATAACCCACATCACTCCAGCCATTTGAGTGCATATGAAATGCTTGTACACTTTGCACTCGCGCATCACACTGAAGCTGCATATGTATATTCATGAAGACGAAGTTGGATGGGGTGAGATAGTGTTGGAATAAATTAGATCAAATATATTATGTGGTTATGCAATTTAACGTTGACTTGACTTACTTTATTTTCACAAGTTGTTGAAGCAGTATGCGCAATGATGACACGTGGCACTGGTAATTTCAATTTTTCAATATCATCTTTTACAGGCTCAGCAAACCACTCGTCCTTGGTGACTATGAGCAGTGTGCCATTAAATACGTAGTCGCTTTTCTCCGACGGTACTGAAAAAAAAAGTGAAAATATGGTTAGCATCTGGATGTACAGTTGAGTCAAAGTTGGCTTAAATTCATAAATTCCATTCAACTTAACTTTTGGCTTTAGATTGGTGCTCCAATAAATAGGTTTTGAAATCACTTTCACAACTAAACATGAATTTTATATGCTTGTATAATATTTATAATACACGATTGCCGAGATTTGCATTTTCATGTAAATACGCAAACATATCTATGCATGTAAAAGCGTATGACATTGCGAATTTCGAATTGAACCGCATTTGTATCGCTCCAATTGTAGTGAATCCTTCTAATGCTTAAAATATGAAAGTTTATGAGTGAGTGAGTGCGTGAATGCAACAGAGAGTGAGTCGGCGAATGAGCGAGTGAGTGTGTGAGTGTGGGAGTATGTGTGTTGCTCTTTCACGCTGAAACTCCTCGACGTATTTCAATGAAATTTGACATACAGAAATGATACAGGAAATTTTTTTTAGAGTTGCTACCTTTTTCAAATGTTTCAATCACAAAAAAAAAATGTCGAGACACGCAAATTTAATTTTGGGTCTTAGATTGCGCATCTACACATCATTTTTCTAGATCTGGTATTTATCCCAAGACATTTTCATGGAATGCGAATGAAGAACAAGTAATTTTTAGCAAAAAAAAACGGACTTCAACTCTCATATAAAAAAAAATATATATATATATATCTCATGATCCACTGATCGGACCTTAACCAGATTAGTATGGGACCACCTCTGAGACACTACCTTTCCGATGCAAACAAGAATTATCGAAATCGGTTGACGTGGTCCAAAGTTATGCGGTAATACACATAAAAAAAAAAACAAAAAAAAAATATTCCGACGAACTGATAACCTCCTCCTTTTTTGGAAGTCGGTTAAAAATTCGAATGCCAAATTTCCACTACGCATTAAATTGACGAAAAATGTGTGCCATTTAAAAAATGCCACGTGGAAACGAATTTAATGAAAATTTTCTTTTAACGTAATGGCACAGGTATTTCTTAATGCCCAACTTTGTCATTTAATGCCTAATGGAAATCCGGCATAACTTGAATATGGAAAATGTTACTCATACGCCATGTACGAATATTTACGAGTACGGTCATGTTCTACATGGCGTATGAGTAACTTTATTTCCTGCCCCTATTTCATAAAAAAATTCATTACGCATTTTCCTTTGCCCATTCACAACTTGTTTATTTATCCATCGATTTTAATCGTTAGTAGCTTGATTTTTTTTTGCAAAAGAACAGGCTTTGAGCCGTTTGCAAAAAGTTAAAAAAAATCTGTTTTCTCCCTGTTAAAATTTGATTTTTTTTCCACAAAAGTTGGGAAAATGCCTTGATCTAAAAAAACGGTATATGTAAGTTTACATATTTCGGCGTTTTTTGTGTCCTTTCAAAACTTGAGATTTTCACTACAGTGTTAGTTAATGGGTTAAAAACAATATTTCAACAATATGGGTGTCAAACGATTAATTTCGAAAATATTTTAGAAGAGGGTTGCCACCTGTTCAAAAAGATTAAATAAATTTTATTAATAATGTAAATCAAACATTTTAATATTGGTATCAAACGAGAGAGGTTTAAGAAAGCTTTATCAATTTAATTGACATGCCAAATAAAATATCTTAATATAGGTGTCAAACAAGAGAAATTTAAGTTTATTTCTGACGTATTTTGGAAGAAGGTTGCAACTTCTCAAAAATTAAGCTCATTTAAACCATTTATTATTATGTGCATTAGGCTGTGTCAAATAAAACGATTCCTTTTATACCCGAGCGCACTTGTGTGTGTGTAACTATTTAGCTATTTCACTCAAAATCGATGTATATAACTGAGGACGCTAATTTACTTGAAGTTAATATTTACAACAATCTCTTAACAATAAATACGATTTTTATAGACTTTTAGAAACAGGGCGTGGCACCGCACACTCTAAGAGTACAAAGGTGTATCTCGGTAACCGCTTTATCGATTTCTACCAAACTTGGTTCAACTATTTCATTAAGTCTAACTAAAGTTTTATCAGTTGCTTTCTATATAAAAGATTAAATATAACAAATAGAAGACCACACAAAAATTACCAGAAGTCAACCGTAACACCTAGCCTCTTCAAACTTGCACTTTGTTATACTAAAATTTAATAAATATGCTAAAAACTGCATACCAAAATGTTTTTAAAAATTGTGATTAAAAATTCTGAAACTTAGATGAAACTTTGTCGAATTTTCTACATACATTTTTGTTAGATAGTGAGCTATACTTTTATAAAAAAGTAATTAAGATTAAATAAACAAAGGAAAAGTTGTCCAAAAGTTGTTAAAATGTCGCGTTCATTCCTATTTATTCTCCCGCCACTGTATGGACATAGTATGTATGCTTGCATATAAATGAGTATGTTGGTGTAGGTAAGTATGAGAGTTTTTTTTTTGTTAGTATCAATCCACCTTGAGCACCAAAATGTTTGCTTTTATTTACAAATACCTATTGTTGAATTGATTGGAATATGCTTTCTGGAATCGTCGCCATCACCTAGAATCTTACTTTTTCTTATCGTCTGTTTTGTGAGACTATTCACAGTAGCTATGACTATTCCGATCAATATAGTTAGTAGAATAATTGAGCCAGTGATGATGACTGCACGCCGACTGAATATGAATTTATATGGTGCGTCGGGTTGTGTAGATTTTGTAGCATTTTCTGCAAATAAAAATAAGAAATAACATGAATTAGTCAATTGCATGTACGCACTTATATTACTACTTAAGTTATTTTAATTGCGTTAATATACAAATATGTATGAAATTTAAATATTAATAAGGAGATAACGCCACACAGTGGTCTGAAACTGAAATTTTTTGTTCATAACCCTCCAGAGCCCTCATTTTCAATCAATAACTGCAACTATAAAATGTAAATTTGTTTATATTAAATTTTTTAATGCAAAGTGCAGAGAAAGTAGCAATTTTGAAGAAAATCGTTTCGCCTGTTCCAGTTCAATGTTACAAAAGAAGAACAACACAAAAAGAATTGTAGGGTTTCACCAAAAAGAGAAAAAATTAAAAATATATTGAAATGTAACAAAAAATTTCTATCAAAATTAATTTAATTTTTTATTTTTAGACAACTCCAGGTATGTAATGGTGTAGCTCATTAAATTCTAATATCATTAAGTGCAACTATCAAGTGGCTAAGGACTCACGTTGATTTTTGATTTTTTTTTTGCTGATTGTGTTGCGAACGTTCTTTCATATAAAAAAAAGATTGTGTTCATCCATTATATGGAGGATAAGCGCAACACCCTCGGCAAAAAAAATACAAAAACCAACGATAATTTTTAGCTACTTCAAACTTGCACTTTAGTTTAATGAGCTACAAAACTGCATACTCAAAATTTTTCTAAGAAATCGAATTGAAAAGTTGAAAATTTTGATGAACATTTCTCGGTATTTTTTGCATTTTTCCTGAGTTCTGTATGAAATAAAAAAATTAATTCTTGTGGTTTTTGCTGTTGACCGTACTATATTTTCATAAAAAAATAACAAAAATTTTTGTACGGAAAATGTAAATAAATAAAATCGTCAAAACGTCAGGGTAGGCATATTTTTGACGCTGACTGTATATTATTGAGACTACAAATTTTGTGTCAAAAAACTATGTAGATAAATTTGGTGATCAGCTTAATAGTTGCCAGAGATGCCGTCACTGCCTCGATTGAAAATACTTGTGTATTTACATAAGTCCAACCATTGCTCTTCGATGAGGGAATTAGTGCCATATACATTTACCAGTTTGCATTCCTATTCGCACCTAAGTAACGAGAATAATTAAATGTTAAAAATTAGTCTAAGCATCTCGATCGATAACTTTCAGCGATGTAAGTTGCGGTGGTTGCGACTCTCCTTGACGTGGAGCGGCAACCTTAAGTGAATTTGACCTGTTGTGGCGCCACTTTTTCGGCTTTTTTTTAATTCGTTGCTGATGTGCTAAAACCAACGTGTTATCTTTACGAAGTGCTGAATATTTCGCAGATCGTCAGACACTAGATGCGAAATCGTTTGTTTTCCAAGACAGTCCGACACAGTTTCCGGTGTTATACCCGTTCCCTGAAACCCATACCATACTTGTGAGAACCGTCGCATCCAGAAACGTAGACTTGCATAGTCCAGTAGGTTCAAAAGTCTGTGGAAAGAATATTTGGTAGAAGTTTTTATAACAAGTATACCAATATACTCGGGTAATAAGCTCATGTTTTCCACATGGTAGTGAGTATGTGAGGGGGCTGAAAGATGTTAACTTCCTCTTGAAAAGCACAATTTTCTCTCCCTGTAACAATTGCGCACAAGGCAAAGGCCGATTTCAGCACTTTATTCAGCTATAACGCCCAAAAGCTTGGTAGGAAATTCTACTCTTAGCTCTTTCAAGCGTTTTCAAGTCAGTTGGTCAGTCTTGAGCGTCCTACTGAATATGCGTTGCCTAATTTTGGTGATAAACTCGTTCAAGGCAGCGTATCGAGACGACAGAAGGCTTTGGAGGTGTCTTTCCATTTTTGCTTACATTCTTGGAGATGCCGATTGATCTGGGTAGGATTCCTTACGATCGCCTGATCAAAGGCCATCAAGCGCATATTACGGGTAGTTCGGTTGCGATCGCACCGTTTACGCGTGGCAAACACGAGCGCGCTAGAGCCTGCTGTGGTGTAAAACGACCAGCTTGAGAAGCTAGAGCAAAAAATGCGTCCATGGCGTTTTCTGTGCCGCAGGAGGACAATTGGTAAGATATGTATGTCGCTCTCCCATACGTGTTTTTGAATTTGAATTTCTACACGGATGCTTTGAAACTTGACGGAAGGGTCGGTAGAGAGATATTTCGCAGGAAACTCCAGTAATTTTACCATAAATACTATAGTTAGACCTGTTGCAGGAAGAGTGAAGGTAACTTTGAAGATGTGTAGTAAAGTGATCCAACTTACAAAGGGTTCCAACGCTGCATTTTAACGAATTATCATTAAATGTGATATAGATCGGTTAGTTTATAGGCAGAAAGGGCTTCCGCTCTGAAATCGTCTGAAAAAAAGTGAACAGAAAATCAAAGAAAACTCTGCACGCGGGCAATGGGGTGCTCTTCACTTTTGCATCGTATTTCAGCCGCCAAACTACGGGATTGTAATTGAAAATGGAATCAACTAGCTACTCGTATTATAATAAAAAATCACTTAAATCATTTTTAGGTTCCACTTTGCTGTTTTGTTTTTTCCTTGTTAGTGTATTTTTTAATTATTCTTATTAGATACGAGTTCGTTAGTATAGACTTATTCATCCAGATGTATTTATGAAGATCCTTGGAAAAAATAAACTTTTGCTTTCCATTTCCATTCCGTTAACTCACTCATATTTTCGAATATCGTATACATCAGTACTCCCTTTTCAAGAGCATCTGTGCGATTCTTCATCTCATGAAAGTATACGTCATTTAATTCACCATTAATGTTCGGCATATTATTTTAAATCAAATCCTTTCTTCTTTATTTGAAATTAAAAATTAAATAGTGCTTCCGGAACTTTAGAAAACGATCTAGTTTTCACAATGTTTTTCACTCAACTGAATGCCAACAATGAAAGCTCTATTAAAACTGATTAAATAACCATGTCATTCAATGCGTTGGCATAATTAAATATAAAAGAATACTTAAAAGTTTATATTCGTAGAATAGATTGAATTCGTGTTAAAAGAAAAAAAATCCCTTTGTGCTATATGTAGTTCGTATGGTGTAGCGGCAAGTGCGAGATGTAGTAGGGCAATTCATCTACATGCGTAAATGCCTCGTAACCATGCCAACCTCGTAAACTTACATACTTTTGTATGGAAAATCGCTTTATTTACGAGGTTTACGCAGTAACGAAGCATTTACGCGTTTTCATGAATACCCATAGTATAAATACATACATATGTACAAACAGTCCAAAAACATTTATTACTATTTAAAGTTATCTTAATAAATCTTATTAAAACATTTTGGAAAATTAAATGAAATTAAAAAAATATGTTTTTCTTTTTACAGTAATAATAAAATAAAAAAAAATAAAAAATTATAAATTAGAAAAAGAAAAAAATTAAACCAAAAAGGGAAGAAAATAGTAGGTACTTAAAAATTAAATATAATATAAAAAAAAAATGTATTCCAACACAAAGTCTAAAAATTAAAATAAAATCAAATTAAAAAAGGCAAAAAATAAAATATACATGAAATAAGATCCTGAAAATAAAATGAAATAAAAAAACATACTTTTTTTAAAGCAGTAAAATCTTAACCAAAAGGAAAATTGAATTAAAAAATATGTAATGAATTAAAAAAAAAACAATATGTTTTGCTTTTTAAAACAATAAAATCGAAAAAGATATATATAATATATATACAAAGTGTTTCGGTATCGATTTTGGTTAGTTTTCCAAAATTAATTTCGATTTCAGTATCATTTCGGTTGAGAAAAAATATGAAAACAAGTTTAATAAAAAAATAATAATTTATAAATAAATGGAGGGTATTTCAAGGCTTAATAATAATAATCTTTTGTTTAGTTTGTTTAAAAAAGTCACATCTTACTCGTAAAAGCTAATAAATTGTATTTAAATATTTATAATCCGTACAACTGATTAGTTCTTATCAATGAAATCGAATCCACTATAGCACTGCTTAAACTGGCTCTCTCATAATAAATTTTTGTGCTAGAGAACAGAAAACCATATAAATCAAAGTTTTTAGCTTCCTACAAAATTAAGAAAAATTCAACAAATCAAAGCAACTTTTTTTCGACAAATATTCTGATAGTTGCTCTTACTTAACTGGAGCCTTCTAAATTAAATGGCGTCCTCAGTTTTATCCTATTGGCTCCACTTTTCGAGATAGCGGTACTTGAAACTTTACTTTAATTGTAACTATTTTATAAAAAAGTCCCTGAGTTTTAAAGATATTTTACTAAAATTTTGCACATAACCGTTTTTTAATATTACCTTAACTATTCCATAAAATCATCGAAATCGGTTCACTAAAACCTCTAGCTCCCATAAAACTGATTGATCAGAGACGTTGTTTTGCGTTATAACTCCTCCAATTAAACAGGTTAAAATTTAGTATAGGTTCAACTTAACATATAGCACGCATACAATTTATTATTCAGATATGAGGTTAGAATTATATCCCAAAAACACATATCTGAGTAATCAGTTGTATTGGAGCTATATGTTAATGTGAACCTATTTCGATAATTTTAAGGAATAATTAAGGTAATATTAAAAGACCGTTATGTGCAAAATTTTAGTAAAATAACTTCAAAATTGAGGGATTTATTTATAAAATAGTTAAAATTTAATCATATTTTCAAGTACCGTTATCTCGAAAACCGGAGCCAATCTGGCAAAACGGGGCATGCCATTGAATTGAGAACGTCCCAATTAAGTGAGTTCAACTTTCAAAATCATTGCTCAAAATTTACAACTTCAACAACGTAATTTGAACCCAGCTTATTCTTTTGTTTTCTATTTCATGTTTATTCCTCGTCTAAATTTTGAAGCCTTGATGAAAATGAATTACACTTATACTAATCGATTTATTAAGACATTACGAATAAAATGATATATAAAACATAGGTGTGCTAACAAATTTAAAAATTAAAATTTTTATTTCTAAAGTGTACCTATTT